GGGGGGGTGGAGTATACTCTGAATGCTAATGTGAGGCTGGAGAATGGGCATACAGGCCCATTGAGATGCAGAGTCCATGTGTTTTCTTAGGGTAATATTGGGGCAATGTTGGAACAGCCTGCATTATGAGAGTGAAAGGTCAATGTGATGTTAGTCAGCAGGAACAGTGAGAATTGCTGACTATTAGGAATTGTTGCATTTTCTGCCTGAGTGATTGACTCCCCTATGAATATGTATTTCAGCCCTTTTTTCATGGCCACACAAAGATGTTCGGGCTTGTGTACCTTCACGAGCCAGAGGGGTCATTAAACACTGCATATAAATTAAAATAACAATGTAATTCAGGTGCTCAAAAGTGCACGGCCACATCCCCGCCCACCCCCAAAGTCCAGTCCAATTTTTACCAAGCTGGATGTTGAAATTCCTTCGCTGCAGAGAAAGGCCCGAGACATGTCATGTTGCTCAAAGCTCATTCACGTCTAATTACCATGGCACTGGACCATTTTCTTACCTTTTGTTGGCCCGCTGAGAGGAGCGCAGGGCCCACGCTCTCCCATGCACACACAGCTCCAGCATCCTCCTCCTTCTCCTGCTCCTCAGCAGCCTCTGGCTTCCCCTGCAGCAGCCGCAGTCACACAGAATGAGTGGAGCCGCCTGAGGAATGTGGACACAAAAGGAGGAATGTCATTTTGCAGATCGCTAACCCCCCCTGCGCCCTCCCCAAACCAACGGACATGTGCACAAGTCCGGGCATTTTTAAATGCAGGGGGTACAAAAATCTTGTCAATGCTACTTTTGGCATAAAAAAGACTGTAGTGCACCTCATCCTTACTGAAAATGAGCAAATAGTGCAGTTTCTGATTGTGAATTGAATTATTTTTCTCCTTTTTTTTGAGGGTTCTGGTGTTTTAAGAGGTTGACACTTTGAATTTTTCACATGCTTAATCTTTTCAGTGCTAAATAAACTCAGATTGTTTTTTTCTTTCCTCTTTTCTTGCCGGCGTTGCGAGATGGACAAAGGTCAGAGGCAAAGAACAGCATGACAACACCAGCAGACAGACGCCAACAAAGTGCAGCTTAAAAAACTAAAACATGACAGGAGGACGCATCATTTCAAACATGTCCAGCAGCTTTTTGTCTAAACAAAAAAAGCATTCTTCCTCATTTCATCTCAGTGAGCATCTGCTTTTCACTGATTTATACATCTCCCATTAGATGCGAGTGCAATCTCAGTCCACCTCTACAGCCTGCTACCACGCTTCCAGCAAGCTGCTTACTGTTGTTTACAGCACTATATGACAGGCAGCTGGATGTGCGAAGCACAGCTGCCCCATTGCTAACACAGGACAGGCTGATCGTGTTTGTGTAAGGAGCGGGCCCTGTCATTTTTTTTGACTCCTTGTTACAGAAACACTGGCCACGGTTTCACCCACCCATTTTAAACAAACTCTAATGTACTGGACTCAAATAAAAGCGTCTGGGTGAAGACTTAAAAGACTTCACACTGGTCTCTGTTTCCCCACCTTGGATAAGATGTTGTTACAAAATGTCCTGGTTATCATTCAAGTCCTTGGGGTGGCCTAGAAACAGAGATAAAAATGGTTTATTGTCACTAATATCTGTTAAGACTGTGTGTGTAAGCCTGTTTGACTCCAAGGACTTTTATCTACTCTTATCTCAACACTAACAGCAAAAAAGAAAAAAAACTGATAAGAAATCCCTGCTCAAAGCAGAGGTCAGACTTGGATCTTCTGTGAAAGAGATCTGTGATTTTGAGCACTTTTGCATATCTAAATGAGTCTTTTCTTTATGTCATGTGGGCCAGTAATAGGTCATACCCACATGTTATGCCACCGTGTAGCTCCACCCTCAGCTCCAGTCCTGATTTTCAAGCGCGGCTTCCTCCAGTCTAAACATTAAAGTGGGAGAGAGCTCCTGGGTTGGTTGGAAGCCCCTGCTCCACGCTCCACCCCTGGTGTTCCTGATCTCCAGGTCTTTGTCCCCCGGAACTTGCTCTCACTCCTGGGTGTCCACCAGGGCTTTTTCTGCTCGCATCTGGATCCCAGTACAACCTGCAAGCGGTCCAGCGTCCTCTCCCACTGAAACCCTCGGCCTCCTCCGATTCGGAAAAGAAAAGAGAAGAAGACTGAAGAAACCCAAATTTTTCCCGATAACTTTCCACAGCCTGCTCTCCTCCCGTGGTTTTTACTTTTCGTCGAAACTCTGAAGCAGTAGTGAGACTGTGATTGTTGCTTTCAGTCTCAAAGAAAAAAAAAGTTTTTTCATGTTTTAACCCCGTTGTTTTGTCGCGTCTTTGTGTGTTTTTCATTTGAGTCTGGAACTCGACACTTAACCCACGTACCTGTAGTTGTGAAACGTCCGACGTGAACGGTGTTTTTTCGGTGTCTTTTCTGCTCTCCCGGCCTCTGCTGCTGTGAATGAAGTATCTGTTGAGCCGAAGAAATCAGCGCGTCTCCATGAGGAAACTCGACCGTGGACTCGCTGAAACTTTGTCCTAGCCGTGCACACACTCACACCTGAGCGACTTTAACATTTTTGCGGTTTTCGCTGTTAGGCTTCTTATTTTTCTGTCTTCGCCTGGCCCAAAATGAAGAGTTTGTTGGCGCTGTGTGTCGTGTGGACGGTGGCTGTGGTGTCGGGGACTGAGGAGCAAAAGTTGAACAACTGTGATGAAGTTCGTGCTGCCTACAGCTCCAAAGGCTTCAACGTTAACGACGTCCCCAGCAAAGGAGTCAACGGTGAGACCCATTTTTATTTATATGTGTATATACAAATATATCTCAAGTTTAACCTTAAAACCCAATGGGTTCTAAAGTAGGGAGCGGGGACCCCCGGTGGGTCTTGCAGAGGTTTCCGGGTGGTCCTAGCTAAGATAACTTTTTAAGCTAGCAAAGTTAGCTTGAAGAGAGTTTAGCTTCAAATCTGTGAAATTAACTCCAATATTTCAATCCAAACCTGACATTTAGACATCTTTTAACCACACCCATGTTTTCCATTTTAGCCAAAAACTACCTAACTGCTTTTTGACACTGCCACAAATAACAACCTCTACAGCAAATGATTAAACGGTCACTTTTGTAAATGGACATTTAGTGCTTATTCCAGATTTGATATAGAGGCGTTGTTAATCATACTGACATGCTGCTTTTTTCATTTTCTTTTGGTCTGTGTTTTTCCTCAATTATTAAGTAGCAATGAAACATTTGGGAATGCATTCTTCTGGCTTAGTGCTGCTGGCAACACTTCACTGCTCCAGTGTGTAAACACAGTCATCATTTAGGAAATACTTGTAGGTAATTCATAACAATAAAGAGCTATAATCAACACACAGGCTCTGTTCCACACAGAAAGAACCCAGGCCCATGTTTATTTCCAAGCTTCCTCAGTAGAGACCCCCATGGCTGTGAAGCACAGGCCGCCGGCAGCGATTTAGTAAACATTCCTCTGCATTGTGGAAAAAAGAGCTTATGGATTTTTCTTTCTCTCCAGGCTTGGCTGAATTATTATTTTTTTTTTATTTGTTTATCTCCCAAATCCACCTCCAGACCAGTCACAGGATGCAGAGTGCTAAGTAATAATGGAAGCAGACATGTTAATAATCAGAGAGGCAAAAAGGCAAATCAATGATGCTAATCATGAGATAAGCCCAAGCAATGGAAACTTTCCTTGAAGGAGGGGGGTGGGGGCGTTTACAGTAAATCCTTGAGGGCAACAAGGGGAGGGGTTGGGGGGTTGAAATTCCTATGTGCCCTGCATACTTTCACCCACCCCTCACTGCCACTCATTTCCTTTTAATTTTAATGGCACTTAAAATAAATACGCAACATTTGGTGAAGTTAGGTTTGGCAGTTTTGGAGTGGCTTCAGCATGGTGTATGACAGTATAGAAGTAAATCATCAGGGGGGAAGCTTAGGTCTTGTTTCCCACTTGGGAAAAAAATACATATGTAGGTTTTGGCCCTCATAAAGAGCTTAATTAGCAGAAAAGCTATTTTTACAACTTGGATAACTGTTTTTGGCGAAGTGCTCACAGCATTATTCCATCTGACTATGTGAGCCAATGTGCATATGTTCTCTTTATTATCATAAAGCCCTTTATGAGTTCTCGTTTGCATACTAAGAGGATGTTCAGATCAGCTTTTTTATTTTGGGGCCACAATGGCTCATTAGAATTTGAGTTGGGTGTAGCTGTCAAAGAGACAGAAATTTGATCCCAAGTTTCACACAAGTCTCATAGTCTTTTTTTAATAAGGTTTGTGTGGGGTTTTTGTTTTGTGTTTTTGCTTCTGTCTTTGTGATAGTAAATGTCATTAGGAGTACCGCAACACGTCTGTCTCGGTCAGATTTTATTGTCTTGCATCCCTAGGTTTGAAAGGATGTGAATGAAAGCTTGTCCAGGTTTGTGTGCTACATACACACACATGGCTTTTCCTTACAATAGTTTGCTGGTGTATGTCTGGGTTTTTAGGCAGGGCTGACCTCAATGAGCGGCTTTTTGTCGCTGATAGAGACTGAGATGATAGAGACCCCGCCCC